AACACATCTTTCAAATAGGTTAATATTTACATTATCTTTATCATTATAATTAAACACATCTTTCAAATAGGTTAATATTTACATTATCTTTATCATTATAATTAAACACATCTTTCAAAATCTTCAATTATCAATATGTAACTTTAAATGTCCTCTGAAAGCAACACAATCTCCAATCTTTTATCAATTTAACCAATATTTTGATCAATCCCAGTGCTTTATCATTCACAACAGACTGATTAAAGTCACTGATTTTCCACTTTATTGTATTTTTTAATAGGTTAATATTTACATTATCTTTATCATTATAATTAAACACATCTTTCAAAGTATTGAAAATTCACCAGTCTTTTAATACACTACCAAAAAACTGTTTGGATCCACTTATTTTCTTAAAAAAAGATCCTTCTTCTAGTTATAAAAATGTTTTTAAATGTAGAGTTACATTTTTTTTAAATATTTTCCCAATTTCTTTCATTTTCAGTACTCTCAAACAATTTAAAATATTTGTTTTTCATTTAGTACTGTTTCTGTCTCACTCTTTTACATTTTCTATCATACCTCCCCTTTTTTTCAGCATTGTAATATATAATATTGGTTACACATCAAATATAACTTCATAATAACAATATAGTAATTGTGTATTGTATATATTTCTTTTTTTTAAATATTTCATACTTTTCATTTTTCTATTGTTCTTGAAAGTGGTTTTAAACTAATTACTCACATAAATTTATTTTATTATCCCATTAAATATATCAACTTATACTTGCAACCTTTACAATGAAGTGAATTCTCAATTTCCACCTCCATATATTTTTCTAACAAGGATATACACATCATATTCAAAAGAATGGTTCACAATATTTGAAGAACATTTTTTAATCTTATTATCATCAATTTAAAAACAAACTATTAGACACAGCACACAAGCAAATCAAAACACCACGAGGTCAATGCTCTTTAGTGAAAAAATAACATGGTACGTGACACAAAATTCAAAACATGGTAAACGTTTTTAGTGTTTCAAAGGTATTTTCTTTACGTAAAACTTTCCAATCCCAGGTGTTCTGCACGGGTGTCAAGTTTTGTACATTATAACCGAGACATTACACTTGTATGTGCTAGATCCTAATTTTAGTGGGTAAAACTTTTCTCTTTAAAATGTCAAACAACTTATTAATTCACATTTCTTCCAACACATTTATTATTCCGATATAATGAATAATAAAATTTATTCGAGCACTTGGACATTTCTCTAAAGTTGCCTATAAGAACATCTGTTCTACATAAACTGCTTTGACTGGTGATGAAATCTCATTTTATCACAACATACAATACTCTTTGTCATAATGTTTCCAATATTCGTCCTGGCTACATGAGTGTGGTGTTGGACACATTGATATATTAAGACTGTCTACATGAAATAAATTTGTCTTGTACCAAAAAAAAACTTTAATTTTGCTCAATATAATCACACAACTGAAAAATAATCATAATTCTTAATGTTGACATTTAATTGTATATGTAAACATTTTTATAAAGAAGTTTTGTGGTCCTCTTTATAAAACTGATTTCACAAAAGATTAAGTTTAAATCATATATTTCAAAGTAATAACTTGAACATAAACTTTATCTCGAAATTTTAAAATTATAACAAAGTTTCTACATAAACAACATTTGCAGTTTGCTTTCCATTTATCATCAAATAAAGATTTTGAGGTGATCCCACCCTTGAGCACCCCACATCCCATTGACCATGAGAAAAGCATAGTTGTTTGGGAAATAATCCAGCAACTTTCATACTTTGACCTGGAATCCCTTTAGAATATTCATCATTGTCTAAAGCATTAACCTGCCAAGATTGTTTGACACTGACCCAATAGGCTGGGTGTAATTAACCAACAGGCTTTACAAAATAGAAATAAGGTTAAGTTCAATTTTGACCCGCTTTAGGAGATTCCACACAATTTATAGCGTTTACATACAAATTTTGGTTGAGGTTAGCCCAATAGGCTCAGAAGAGTTAGGGTGCAAACAAACACACATTTTGTCTTTATATATATAGATAAACATACACGAGTCTACCAAATGATACTAATCTTTCAGAATTTTGTTCTTTGACTAAATTAAATTAACAAAGGTAATTAAGTACAAACATATTTGCTTTTTTCTTCCTTTCCCAGTTGTCATTAAGAATTACCTGATAAACCTATATTATCAGGGAAAGCGTACAGCTGCACTATCTTGTGATGAATATCGAACTTTACTTCACATCATTAATCATTTCACGCAAGTCCTACCAAAAGTTCGATAATACAATCACAATAATATAGTTATACGGATCCTTCCCAAACAAAAGATAAAAACTAAACTACTTACCTGAGTCTTGTAACTGTCCTCTAAATGTGTAATGTTTTCTGAATGTTTCATTTCCAATTTATTCTCTAAATCTTGCATAGTTTTCTTATGCCTCCTGTCCATCTCCTCTCGAAGCAGTCTAAGATCTTGTAAGGCCTCTGCTGTTAGCCTTCTGCGTAAGTTTGATAGATCTTCTTGTTGTTGTATTTGTATCAAAGCTTCTTCACTTGCTTTTTCCAACTGAAAATCATGTACAATATTACAATAAACCCTCCTACTACAAAGATATGACACAAGTGTATGTAGCTAACGTAATGTATTTATGCTTTATTTGATTGTTTTGGGTAATGTATCTCTAAAATATGGAAACAAATGTCTAAAGATAAACTTTTAATTAATTATTATAAGATGCTGGAACAAAATGTACCTATATTAGAGCAAAAAAATGTGGGTACATATGTAACCAAAGAGCTATGAAATAAAAAATAATAATACAGAAACCTAAGGCATGCTTTTGATGTAAAATAACACAAAAACAAACAATGAAATTAAGAAATAAGGAAAGTTATTGCTGTCGGTTATGATCACAAATACATACACAGTTTCTAAAATTTTCCAAGATTTGTTTTTTCATTGTAACATAACAGTAACTTTCAAGTCCCAAAAAGCTAATAATGTAGATCAAACAAAAAATTCAAATAAAATCAAGTATGGGCATGCATGCATTCATCTTATAACTAAACAAGATGAATGCCCATCATATGATGTGAAATAATTAATTTCTTTTCTCAAAATTATATCTAAATAAATATTTTATGAACATGTTTTCTAAAAATGAATTATAATCTAGTATTATAATACATATATATATATATGGAGAATGACTATCCAATTTCTAGTATTTCACAAAAACAACACTTTTTTTATGTATATTTGGTCATTTTTAAGTATTGCTTGATTAGCATTTTCACTTCTGTATATTTTTAAGTTATGTTCAAACGTTCTTCTTGATAAATCCTTATAGATTGAAACATGTGAAAAAAAAACTGATTCCCAAAGACATATTCTTACTTGGTCAACTTAAGAACCGGCAAGTTATTAATAGTGATGGTAAAGGCAGAGAATTTTATTATTAATTTAGGGGGTCTTCTCTTTGGACTGTCTTCCTGGTTTTGGCTTTGTTAGCTTGCTGAGAAGCAGCAGCACACTTTAATTTGGGCATTTTTAAAATTGAAATGTGTCGCGGGTAAACATATTATAGAGTTGTAGCTGAAGGCTCTGATTGGACAAAATATAGTGATGTTGCACCAATGTGTCTCCTTGACAACCAAGCAAACGTAATGGGAAATTTCAGCCAATGATTATGATTTTTGTGCACCAGCAATATCAAGCATGGGGCGCGATTATATACCCGATTTGATTTTATTGCTGATTACAATCTCTACAAACCTACCCTCAAAACTAATTATGTACCCAAAGTAGTGCATCGTCCATTATACATATATATATATATATATAAATATGTCTGAAAGAATTTTAATAAGACAAACTTGCTTGTCCTGGCAGAAAGCACTGTTGCTTCATGCAAGTTGTGTGTCGATCGGTACCACAACAGCTGGAATATCGGCATAACAGACAGGCTTTTCATCTTTATATAGTAGATTTGGTCAAAAGAATCAGATTGTTCTCAAAATTTCTAATAGATGGCTGAACACATCTATTAATTAACATTCTCTACTTTCAACTAACAACCAACATATTCAATAAATTCTTATAAATCATTATTTTAAAAAAGATGCAAATGTAATTATGCTACCTTCAATCCAATGATATCCTTTAACTTGCTTATATAATTATATTAATATTTAAACTATTTCCTATAAAAAAAAGGGGTGAAAAAAATATAATGAAAAATTAACATACTTCTTTTTGTATGCTCTCCTGTTGCCATTGTTTCAGGATTAAATCTTTCTGTTGCAGTTGTGCTTCCAACCTCTGGTGCTCGATGACAGAATTCTTCATTTGCTCTAGTAATTTTAATTCTACTTCAGCAACTTGCTTTTCTGAAAGTTGACTCTGACAACTGTGTTCCTGCACTATGTATTCACTTGCAAACTCACTAGTTTTTACATTCTTCAAGAAAGCATTTTTCATCATGAGTTGAGTCTGCTCTAAGAAACTTCTGTCGTACAAGATTCCTGAAACATCAGAATAGGTCTGCATATGTTGCTCTATTTCATCAAGGAGTGTTTTTCCTTGAACTTGAAGCTGGTTAAGATGAATGTACAGATCTTCTACATCCTAAAATGTTACACAAAAAGTTTGTAAAAATTAACGAATGAATAAAGTTCATACTTCATTATAATTAAACTGAATAACATAATATTAACTCAATAAAACATAAATATAATTGAAAGATTCCTCTTTTGTTTATATACAGAAGTGTATTCTTTAATCACCATTATTTGATTCTGTGGTCTTAACAGAGTTAATAAATCTTTTTGAGATTAGCATGAGCTGTATAATAAATTTACAGTAGCTCATGAATATGTGTTCCTTCCAAGTATATTTCTTACACAGTAAAGAAGAATCATATCCGATGATAAAAACCCAGTCACCCGAATGCTTTCGAAAGGCCCACCTTTTGAAAGTGCTCAGATTACAGGGTTTTTATCATTTTATTTTAGGCCTTCTTGAACCTAAGTGTTTTTCTGACATAATGGAAGAATCATATCCATCATTACATTAAAAAAAACTTGATAAAAATAACTGAATGACAGTTTTTCTGCACTATAAAGATAAGTACTTTGTACTATTATACAACAGGCAGATTTGGTTATGATCACACATAGATAAGTTAAAGAACAAATTCTTGCCGAACATAAAATAAAAACTAACAACAGCAAGAATAAACTTATTACAAGAAGTTACGTCCAGTTCAAGTTGATAAGACACAGTTTGCAATAACTGTCTGATTTGAGGTGTTCATCCACTTTAGAATATGCTAAATTCTGACACGAAGGTTTTATACAGTTCATCTGTTCCTGGTAAAATATGCTAAAAACTACTCTCACATCAAGTTACCTGTTGTTGTAACAATGAGAAGAAATTAAATATTGGGTATGTTAAGAATAACTTTCATCTTACCTTGTTAGCAGAGAGGTTTTCTTTATCCAAAAGTTTCTTCAGGTTACTTAATACTTGCTCCTGCTGAGTGAGCTGATTTATAAACTTTTGTTTTTCTTCTAGAATTGTTTGGCTTATGTTTGCAAGATAATCCATCTTGTCACTTAGTCCAAGTACTTCTACAACTGATTTCTCCAGTTCTTGATCTCCTTGATTCAAAGAATTACTGAAATGATCTATCCCAGTCTGAGAGTTTTCTTCGACAACTATTTCATCAAAATAATTATCTTCCCCAGAAACATTTTGGATTTGTGAAGACTGTCTAATTTGAAGAGCTCTGAGCTTGATCTGGAGATTTATTAATTCCCGTTTCGTTTTTTGGTTTTCAAATCTTTCATTCATTAAATCAGACTGAGTTTTTTGTTGTTCTATCAAATAGTGCATAACTTGGTCTTTAAACTTTTCCATCTGAATTAGTAGATCATTTTTACCTTTATCTAAGAGTTCACATCTTTTGGACAAGTATGCAACAGATGCCTCAAGGCTGTTTCTTAGTTCCACTTCCAACTGAAGTTTAGATCTTAACTCCCAAATTTCAGCTTCAGGAACTGCAAGATCTTCCATCTTACTGCTATGAATTTTTTGTCTTTCTAATTGTAGTTCTTCTTCTAAAGCTCTTTTAGCAGAAGACAATCCACTAATCTGAACTTTAAGTTCTTCCAACTTAGCTTCAAGCTTACGCTTAGCTTCCTCGAAATTAAACACCTGCATCATCAGATCTTGTTCCAATTCTTTTTTTTCTTTCAGAAAATTAACAACTGTTTCGGTATGTCTCTCAGATTTTATTAATTCACTTTCCAATTCCTTTATTTTAGTGTCTGTGTTATTATTTTCTTCTAAGATGTATTTTAATTCTTCCTTTACACAGTGCAAAACTTTATTTTCTTGAAGTAGCTTTTCATATTTCAATTTCCACTCTCTTTCAGTTAGATCTTTTTCTCCAAAACCCTGCTTAAATAAGTGTGAGTTTTCAACAAAACTCTTTGAATCAATATTAACAAAGGCACTTTGGTCACCTGAATTAGCAGCTTTATGTATCACAGTTGATTCTGAAGGCAACGAAGATACTTTCGATATTTCTTCACTGATCCCAGAAGAAACGGCAAAATTCAATTTTTGATTCCAATCTTTCTGTAATTCATCTTCTTCTTCCTCCAACTTTTGTTTGGCATCCTGCATATTTTCTAGTTCTGATTTTAACCTCACCATTTCGACGGTGTAATCATTTCTGGTTTTAATTAATTCTTCATCTTTCTCCCTTAGTTGATTGTGATGTATTTGTTCAATCTCCAATAGTTTCTCTTGCATTTCTGCTTCATGTTTTTCTTCTATTTCTGCTTTCATAATATTTAAATCTAGCATATGATTTTTTTTTTCCTCTTCAATCTCTTGTAATAAAATATTATTTTGGTTCTTGTGCTGGTCTAATAATTCAGCCAACTTCTTAACTTTTTCTTTTAAATCATTTATGGTCTTGTGACTGCTATGTAATTTCTCTGTTAACAGTTGAATGTTTTCTAATATTTTTGAAATATCTTCAAATTGTAAATTTTCAACAGTAAACTCTGCAACATCTATACTAGCTTTTAACAAAATAGATTTTATTTGGTCAATAAAAACATGGTATTCATTAAGGTTCTTTGTTAAGCTCTCATTTTCAAGGTCTCTTTTTTGGTTCAAAGTCTCCAGAGTTTCTTTAAGAAACGCTTCAGAACTGAGAACATTCTCTAGCTCTTGTGACAGTTCCTTGCACCTAGTCTCGAAGACACCTCTCTCTCTCTGGGAATCTGCAAGTAAGCCTTTAATTTCAGATAGTTCTTCAATTGATTTCTTCAAATTCTCCAGTTCATCTTCCAGATGTTTTTTATCAGTTTCAAGGCACTCAAACTCCTCCTTTAATTTATTAAAGTCTTGTCTTTCATTTTCCAATAAAGAAATTTTATTTTGAAGTAAAATCACATATTTTTCAAATTTTTCTTCAAGCTCTTTTGGAACATAAAAGTAAAAACTTTTTTCCAACTGCGAGACTTCTTGAGTTACACGATGAGATGTGTAATCTTTAACTGTGTTTTTATCTATTGTAAGGTCTTCTAACTTACATAATATTTTGTCCAGTGTTGTTTTCTGGTCACATAGTTCACCCTCTGTTTGGGATTTATATGTAAGTAGTTCTTTTACTTGATATTGGTATTCGCTCAGTTTTTCATTAAGATCTTTATTTTCTGATTTCAAACAGTCTTTTTCATTTGATAGTTTCTCTACCTCATATTTCAAGTCAGCTATATTGTACTGATTCTGTAATTCTAGATTTACAAACTTTTCATTTTCCTTGCTTTCTTTTAGCAGTCCTTGTAGTTGTTGAACTTCTTTTGATAACCGGTCCCTTTCTGATACCAGCAAATCATAATACTGCTGTGACAGCTGGAAGTTTGCCACCTGTTCAGCTAGTTTGTTTTTTTCAAAAACTACTTGTCTGTAATCCTCTTGTAAATGTTCCAAATGTTTCACTTTTTTATCTAACTGATCTTTCTCAGATACTACCTGGTCAAGGAGTTAGAACATTTCCAACATTTACAAAAGGAACTTGACCAGGTAGTATCTGAGAAAGGTCAACTGTCTAAACAGTTAGAACATTTCCAACATTTACAAAAGGAACTTGACCAGGTAGTATCTGAGAAAGGTCAACTGTCTAAACAGTTAGAACATTTCCAACATTTACAAAAGGAAGAGAAAGGTCAACTGTCTAAAGGATACTATCTGGTCATATTTCTCTTGTAAATGTTGGAAATGTTCTAACTGTTTAGACAGTTGATCTTTCTCGGATACTTCCTGGTCATATTTCTCTTGTAAATGTTCTAACTGTTTAGACAAATGATCTTTCTCGGATACTACCTGGTCATATTTCTCTTGCAAATGTTGGAAATGTTCTAACTGTTTAGACAGTTGATCTTTCTCGGATACTTCCTGGTCATATTTCTCTTGTAAATGTTCTAACTGTTTAGACAAATGACCTTTCTCAGATACTTCCTGGTCATATTTCTCTTGTAAATGTTCTAACTGTTTAGACAAATGACCTTTCTCAGATACTTCCTGGTCATATTTCTCTTGTAAATGTTCTAACTGTTTAGACAAATGATCTTTCTCAGATACTTCCTGGTTATATTTCTCTTGGAAATGTTTTGGGTGTGTCATTTCGGACTTCTCTCCTTCACATTCAAGTTCTTTTGTTCTTTCCAATTTTTCTAAAGATTCATGAGATAATCTTTTTCCATTCATGGAAATCACTGTCTCTTGCAGTTGTTGGTTTCTTTCCAATTCTGGATCATGATCAGATATCCAATTTTGACAATTATTTTCAACTATGTCATAGATAGTTTCTTCTTCATGCTCTAAGTTATTTATTTTTTGTTTCAACTCTTTGACTTTATCATTAGAATCTTGTAACTGCATATTTAATTGCTCTGTCGTATTTGTAGCTTCACTAAATTTTGTATTCAAAACTTTGTTCTGTTCAATTAACTCTTGTTGAATGTTCTTATCTGCAGGTATTTGTAAACTTTTCTGTAATATCTCTTCTGGTGTACCTAATAATTCTAAATCCTCGGAGTGAAATCCTTTACGTTTTTCATCATCTAACTCTAGTTTCAAAACATTTACGTATTCCCTTGACGACTGTAAATTTTGTAGTAGTTCATTATTTATCACCCAAACAGACGTAAACTGTGAACACAGATTTGTGAAGTGATCCTTTACCAAACCTGAAAGGTGTGATAGTTCATTCTGATTTTTGTCTGAAGAGCTGGCTACATCTTCAGTCCTAAACTGTTCCTGTATGGTAGTTTCCCTGTTTTCAAAATAAAAAGGCTGAAGACTAAATTCTTGTTTTTCTGATGTATCACCTGAAGAAATTCCTGGTGTCTGAAAAAAGGGGAACACTAACAAGTTGCTTGTTTTGTCGACAAGCTCCACCTGGTTCTCTGTTTGTTTTAAGTCATTCTCACATCTAACTCTCTCATCTTCTATATTACTTACAGTATAAAGTGCATTATCACTAATCATTTGTTTTGCTTGTATTTTATGGCAGTCTTTAAATGTAGAAAATTGTTGCAGTAAATGATTATTTTGTTGAACAAGAAGTTCGCACTGTTTCATAAAATATAGCAAATCACTATGAAACTGATCTTTACTATCTCCTGCTCCTTCATGATGAGAGACATAACTGTTATCATTTGTCAAATGTTTACCATCAGAACAGGATTTAAGCTTTTTAAGTTCTTCATTTAAATTATTTCTCTCAGTTACGGCAGCCTGAAGTTTCTGTTCTACTGCGGTGACTTCAAAACGTAACTGCTCCCACATTTCTGCCTTCATTGTCATGATATTCTGACTGTGTTCCTTTTCCAACTTTACTCTTAAAGCTGTTAACTGCTGATCAACGTCAACAGAACCTGATGACCGATCATTCTGTTGTTGTTTTTCTAACTCCTTCATTAACTGTTGAACCTACAAAGCAAAGAAAAAGTAACTAAATCACTTTACAAAATGTATATCAACTTAATATTGCAATTTCTTGGCAATCTTGTCATAACAATCATTTCAAAAAATACCCATACAGCTCTTAAACATTTTGAATAATTAGAATAATATTTGATATTTTACAAATACTACAACATGTACAGAGTATATTAATACATTAGGTAATACAGTTAAAATCTTTGTTCTTTAGTAACTAAATAAAATGTTAACATAATAGGAAAATTAGCAAACATAATATGAAGACTTTATACATAATGCATGATGATTCATATTACAAAAAACAGATTTGTTAGAATGGGAAGCCATGACCACATGTCATAATCAACACTTTCTGAATTTTTTTAAACATATTTGAGGTTGTGTGTTAAATAAGAGTAAAGTTTTAGAACATTATTAATTTATAAAATTTCATGTTATATTAAAAGGAAACGGTGTTGTTTACAAGAAGCATCGTAACTGTTATCGAAATTTTAATATACACGTAATATTAACCTGAAGCTGTTGTTTGTTCAGATACCTGATTTTAGAATAATAAAAGACAAGTAGTATCTTTTAAATTTTACTGAAATTTAACATCTATAACACAAACTTTCCTATAAATATCACTTATAACACTGGATCTCAAGTTTTTGTTAATTATATCTGTCCCAGTAGTAAAAGTACTTAATGTTTTAGCCTCTGTCCACTCATGCACACCAAACATATGTATTCTATAAAGTCTTCAAATCTAGTGTAGTCTACTATGTGTAAAACCTCAACTAGAATTAAACTTTAAGATATATTTCTTTTTCTGTTTGTTGATTAAGAGATAATTTTAAATTTCATCCACAAAGTTTTTTTTATAATCTTCTGTAGCTAACTACCAAACAGTACCATCAAAGTGAAAGCGAAGAATGTAGAATATTAAATTATTTCAGAAATAATATACAAAGTAAAATTAAAAGATATAGAGGTAAAACAGATTTCTCTTACCTTCATTTCAGACTGCTGTATTAATTCTTCAATTTTAGCTTGAGCTACCTTTAACTTTGTATCTTTTTCGAAGCTTTCTTCCTTCAAAGTGTTGATACTTAATTGATTCTGATTCTGAACATTATCTAAAAGTCTCTGAAGTTCTTGAACTTTCTGTTGATTATTAACTAGATTTGCAGATAGCTGTGCCACATGTTCTTCATTTTCTAGTAGTTTCTTCTGAAGTTCTTCTACTTGTGAAAAGAGTTTATATTTCTCACACTGTTCCTTCTTTAGAAGGCACTGGATTTGCTGGTGTTTGTTTTCCCACAAGGTCTGGTTAGATTCAAAACTTTTTTTCCAGTTATCCAACTCTGTCTGGTGTTCTTCTTGTAAAATGTCCAGCTCTGAGGACATACTAGATACTCTCTGAGATAAATTGACAATTACACTGTCTTTGTGAACCTTTTCTTGCTGTAGAAATATAACTTGATTTTTAGCTTCCAACAATTCTTGAGCTGAAATTCCCGTTTTACTTTTCTGTTTACCAACCACATCTGTGGCCTAAAAAATAATAACAACAAAGGACTTTTACGCTGTGGTTTTTTAAGTACTTGTACTTATCTATAACTTTACAGATAAAAATACTTATATTCTTATCAAATATAAATCAAGTAGTTATTAAGGATAAATATAAGACCAACTAAACACCTTGAGAAGTTCCTAATTTAGAAGTGAGTGAGAAATAATATTCTCTAACAAATGAACCTCAAGTTCACTTTAACAATATTCTCTAACAAAGAACCTCAAGAATATTGTTAAAGTGAAAACTTGAGGTTCCTTTGTTAGAGAATATTGTTAAAGTGCTCTAACAAAGGAACCTCAAGTTCACTTTAACAATATTCTCTAACAAAGGAACCTCAAGTACACTTTAACAATATTCTCTAAACAGGATGTGTATTTCTTCAATTATTCTTTTTAAAGTTCTTGCCTGCTTCAACTGAAGCTTAAGTGTACTGATTTCCTGAGCCAAGGTCTCAGCTTGAGTGGATGCTTCAGCCTGTATAGCATCTCTGTTTTCTAACGTTGTGACCAGTCGCTCAGATAGCTGCGAAATTATGTCATCCCTCTGAATAAGGGCATTCTGGAACTCTCTAATCTGTAAAAACGAGAATATTCACCAATTATACAACTTGTTACAGACATCACAAATAGAAAGCAAAATAAAGCAACAATGCCAAAAAATTTACCAATCTTTATAATGTACCAAAATATTAAAAACAATTGTTAAAGGAAAAACAACTAGAATATTTAAGCAAACAGCACTATATAGAAAATCAAGAATTACAGAAATTAGTTACGACAACAAAATAATCCAATAAGGAATACTTCAAACAGTTCAAAAATTATATAAATACACCATTAATAAATAGATATGTAATGTATATCCAGAAAATGTAAGTACTTCTGTGACAGATAATTTCTGATAATATTATTTTGGTAGTCCTCATTATTCACAGTTCACTGCTTTCAGTAACCCAAAAGAGAACTAGTTTACTGGCTACCACCGGCATCCTTGTACTACATGAAGGAAATCTGAATGCTCACCAGCCTAATGCAGAATGTTGCTCCAGGAGACAATCAATATCCAACCAGATCTTTCACTATTTTTGGTTGGTGTAGGAACTATCTGTGCAATGATAACAGAAGACTGCCCACTGTGGTCTTTAAATAGGTGCAGACTGGTTATTTACCCTCTACCCATCATCTACATTTTCTATCTAGGCTGCTTTCCACAGGTTCCAGTGGCACTAGATGTATATTTCATATGGGGAAATCTGAGATCTAATGATGACCAATTATTCTAATCATAGCTGTATGGTACCTATCCACTGTTATTGTCTCCAGAAGAGCCTTTTGGGCAATCCTCTACTTGTTTGATGTCTATCGGGTCATTATTGAGCTAGAGTGTCCCAAATGAAAATGACAGTGGCCCGATGTCAGAATGCATGGTCTTTACATTGTGAGACCCTAGAGAATATTTTTACGTTTAAGCACTGTTGGTGCTGTGCAATGCTACTGAGATTTTTAAAATGTAATAGGGTCTTCATGGGTTGGCTGAAATACATCCCATGACCAGTTTTAACCTTTAAAAATATTGCCTGAAGAGATCACAAATAAGAAAAGGTTGAAAGGAGATAAATTACACTAACCTTTATCCTATATTCTTCAATGACTGCTTTATAACTAGATTCTTCAGTGTTTTCTTCAACTGTTAGGTTATCTATATGCTAAAGAGAGAACAAAGTTTTGTTTTGTCAATAGCCATTATAATGTCAACAAAAATTATGGAAATATAGCATAAAAGAACAATTTGCAACAGAATTACCCGAACAAAACTTAATTCAATATGATTCTTATTCTTCAAATACAACAAATTTTTAATTCCCATAAACAAACATATATTGAATTTTAAACTAAGTAGTCTAATACTTTCATGGTCATTCACCACTAATTACTTACACAAAATGTTTTACACCATGATCAAAAAAATATATGTAATCAGAAAATGTAAAGATTTTTTTTAAAGAAATGTTTAAGTGAACTGATACAGAGATAAGATGTTCAGATGCTTAAAATTGGGTAATTTCATTAAAGTAAAGGAATTTGACAGTAAAAAATTTCATGTTTTCTCTTTTTTCATGAAAGTTTTAAAACATAATTATGAATAAAACATCACAAATTGAATGGAAGTTTACACAAGGGTTCATGTTAGAAAACCTTTTATTACACCAAGAGATAATAATTCGCATGTATATAATATAAAGCACAACAAACAGAATAAGTGATACTGCTCAAATTATAAACTAAACGATTAGTATAAAAATTTTCCTCCAACAAAATAGGCAAACATATCAATCATAGAAATTATAATTGACTGGAATATTGATATATCAATTTTAACCTCAGAAATATGATACTTGAAATCTTCACTTTTTTGTTCTCGCAGTTCCCATGTTATGTTACTTACCTCAAGGGATTCTTGTAATGTGTTTATTCCTTCCTGCACGTCCTGAGCTGTTGTTTCACCTAACGATGTTTGGTCAATTTGCTATAATAAGGAAATGTTGGAGTCAAAAGAATATGAATACCAAATAAACAGTATAGAACACTAGGTTTTTGAGATAAGTATAGTGTATAAGAGAAGGGTTATTATGAAATCTAATAAAATTAGAAGCACTGAAACCTTTATAAAAGAAGGTTAGTGAACACTGATGTTTTGAGTAACTTCCTTAACCTGCCTTCCTGTTATCAAGATGGTTAGCATGTATGACATAATAGACACATACTCCAGTGATAGCTCGAAGAGTATATGGGAATCACCAAGAGATTCTTGGAGTGTGCTACGACATAGGGCTCATTGAGCTTTCACAAAGGTGCATGTCCTTGTGACATCATCATCGAGTTCTCATTTGGGTCCGCATCATCATGACACATATGCTACCATCTTGATAACCAGCAGACCTGAAGAGAGGTTACTGAAATGCCAACCCACACACTCTCATCCAGAGGATTTAGTGCTTCAATGGCTGTTGAAGTCCATAATCACCTTTCTCTTATTATGTAAATAAAGCCTAAGTCATCTGTCAAAGACTATCAAGTGTAATGTAGTTTATCAACTGGCCAGATTCTAACTGTGAAGAGGCTTCCCAAATATCTGCATGAGGCAAAGACAGAATAAAAATCCAGACTAGGATCTAGAAGTGTTTGGATATCCCACTTTTATAGTGAGACCAAATCCTTAGTGCAGTATCCCACTACATAACCTGCTTCAATAGAGAAACTTCCCAGAAGTCCATAAATAAATGCATAGATGCCACCATGAAACTTAAGTTGAAACATGCAACCTTTACCAATGTAAAAAAATATTATCATATGATTAGAACCTTTCAACATCTGGTTAACAAGAATGTTATGACTACATGCAGAACACCTGCATGAAAAATTATAAAAATTACTTTAATATGCCTTACTACAAATATATGGAAGGGTAAAAATTAGTAGCTATTTAAGCTATAACAAACCCTAATTTTTCAGGTCACATGATGAAATAATCATTCCACTCTGGTGACTTGCAAAGACAATAAAAGTAAACAAAAACACCACAAATAGTTAAAGTGAAAATGATATACAAATCAAAAATTAAATACGTTAAAAGACAAAACAGAATAAAGAAAATTACAATACAAAATTCAAAAATAAACAAAATCAGAATTAAACTACAAAATAAACTTATAATGCTAGCCAAGTACGTACTAAAAACAAAAATAAAACAAAACTGAAACTAGAAAGTAAAAACTTCTATGAAAACATTAAACAAATAATAAATAAAACAAAGTGAAACTGCAAGTATATTCCAAATACAAAATAACCATAGTACTTAAAACACAGGTGAGCATTAAATTGAAGATACAACTATACAGAGTTGCTCCAGTGGATCCTGCTGCTGACAAAGGTTTTTCAAGTGCCTTCTCTTTGTTAACAGTCATTTCTTATGATGTCTCTTTGGAAATGAACATTGATTCATCATTACTCATTGCAACCATAGTAGCAATATTACTTCTTTAACATTTTATAAAGTAGATAATTAAACAATGTATCACCAAAAATGTTACCAGTGTAAGCAATATTTATTCCTGACACATTAAGCTGAAGTCTTCTAGTCAGGATTTAAAACTCAAAGTCAACCCAACCTTAGCTAGGTCCTCACCCTTTTATTAGAAAAAGTCATGTGGCTACAGATGTAGTGCATGTGTAATATCTTTCACAAGCAAAAGTACCCGTCCCCAGTGACAGAAAAAGTTTAAGTTAATCTCTCAACTTAAATTATGTCATGGACTTTAAAAAAGTTAATTGTGTTACTCTCTGAGCCAAAGCTCTAAACTACTTATACCACCCACCGTGAAAAGTAATAGTTGAGCATTTCAATCATGCTAAGAGCTGCTCAATCATAACATACGGTAAATCTACGTTTTATTCTTTAAGTTTCATAACATTTTGAAATGTGAATGAGAATGTGATTAATTCCTAACAATATAATGTAAAATATCCTGCTTGTAAAATAAAGTTTGGCACCAACATTATTCATGCCTTTTCTTCTGTCATTTCAAAAGTGAATGTTGAGCTTTGCCTGCATGCGCAGCTTTTCAAACACAGAGCAAGAAGTGGCCGCTGTAAATGGGCGACAGATACCACGGTTCACAATATATATATATATATGATTCATGATGAATGCACTCACTCCTATGACAGCGAGACACATTTGTTTCAAGCACAAGGGGATAGAACAATACAAATGTGTACTGTCTAAGGTGCACATCTACCTTAGACAAACTCCCAACAGTGCAAGCCCATAACTGTAAATGGATACACCTATCTTACACCTTACATTCCAAATGTTATTGAACTACAATTTTATGAATGTATGTTAATAAGTTTGATATCAAATTGTAGATTAAAATTTTAGTATTATACATTAGTTAATTTTTTAGTTTAAAAGTAAATATTAAAAAAAAAAATTTTTGTGTGTCACGTGATATGTTGAATGCAGCACTGGTACAAATTACATGTTTGTGATGTCAAAATACAAAATATACAGTTTCATACAAATTAGGAACTCAAACTATTGATATTTACAAGCTAGAATATAAAATAAGAACTTCTTATCTTTATACTTCCTAAGATATCACTCCTGTACTGAATCAAACACAGTGGCACCTCCACCCACCTATTTCAATTTTTGGAAACAGTCCCTTATATACACTTACGTCTATATATGACATGAATATCCTATTGAAAGCTCAGAAAGTCCCCCTAGTGGTTTTCTCAGCTATTTTGACATGTTATCGTGTTCATTTCATTCTTTTCACACAATATTTCAAACAATAAGGTAAACCTTTAGTGAGCTCAAAATTTTATAATTTTTTAGAACCAAATACAGCTTCATTACTATGCTTGATAAATTATAGTGGAATTCATATGGTATCGATATAGTAATTTATGATTTTTTGGTTAATTAAAATGTATATACATGACTTGAGAGAGTATGTAGTTAGTTAATTAAACGTCATCAAATTAGGCTTCTCGTTAAAAATACCATTTGCTAAAACCTAAAAAAATTTCTTTATACATCCTCCACGTGAGAAATTTCACAAGGCTTAGCAACCTACGACAAGTGGCAAACGAGTACAAAGGTTGTAACTAGAAGAAATAATTGTTTGCTTTACTTTATTTACTGTTCTATGTTTTAAAAAAATAAGTTTAAAAGCTTATTTGTAAATAGAAATAATGTATAATAGTTGAAATGTTACTGTATTTTACAAAATACTAGTCCACTAAAACACAGCCAAGACAGGTCACTTTGTAAAGACTAAAGGTCAGTTATATATTATTAAATTATTATTAGTTGAAATGTTACTGTATTTTACAAAATACTAGTCCACTAAATCACAGCCAAGACAGGTCACTTTGTAAAGACTAAAGGTCAGTTATATATTATTAAATTATTATTAGTAGAAATGTTACTGTATTTTACAAAATACTAGTCCACTAAAATACAGCCAAGACAGGTCACTTTGTAAAGACTAAAGGTCAGTTATATATTATTAAATACGGTAACATGAGTGCACGTGTGCTATGTCATTGTAACTTCTGTATTGTTAGCCAGGCACGGTTGGAAGATCAATATAATAAAAATAATAAATATATATAAATGTGTAATGTTATGAGATTTAAGCTAATTAGAGTAAAAATTTGTGTTTTTGTGTTATAATTTGTAGTCATTCTAGAATGAAAAAAGCATAATTTATATTTTTTCCTAATTTTTTATTGAGGTTAAAAAGTTGGTCATATCGTACCAACCCGTACAGAAATACACTAGTGAAAATAACAAATAAAATAGTTTTTTACACAAAAAAATTTATAATTGTCTGGAGATTATAAAGATTTTGAATGTGAAATTTGAAAATGTTCTAATGCATTAATGTATTTTTAATCTTAAAATCAAAATTACATTGCATGTTGGATAGTCAACGTTCTGAAAGAAAAAAGTTTACGAGAAAATCTTTAATTAAAAAATCTTAATACTTAGTTTAAAAACGTGATATTTTGTGTATGAAAACCTTGTAATGTTTACCAATAACCTGCAAAATTTTGTAAAAATGTGCTTACATTATGAAAAATCATAATATAATTACTTTCATGTATATTTTAGTGGTTACGAGCTGGGTTGATTCCACCCAGCCCGTAATGGAAGGGTTAAAGGCATTAAAAGCAGACCTAGAATTAACAGAGTTGTCTTCTAAGATAACTACTTCAATAATTAATATACTGTACATGTTACACCTAACATGTATTGACTATTTTAACCAACAAAAGACTTACTTGTACTTCTTCAGTACTTTGAAATGATTCATCAGTTTCAGTATTAGTATAATCTGACATGCTCTCAACTTGATGAACCTCTTCTAAAGAACATTCATCTGTTTTTCTCTTTTTCCTTGATCTACTGTTCTTCTTCTTTAGTAACTCAGCCAGCTATAAATATATAAACACACATATCTAATACACTCAAGCTTAAGAAAGTAAATTAAAAACATTCCCCTTACCTTCATAAAATAAGGAATGTTATTTTAAAAGCACTATGTTAAGTTTTTTGACTGTAGCAAATGTATTTAAATGTTCACGTTTTTGGTTTGGTTGTTGAGCACAGAGATATACAATGAGTTATCTGTACTGTGCCCAACATGGGTATCAAAACACAGTTTTTAGTGTTAAAAGTCTTCAGACTTGCCACTGAGCTACTAAAGGGGTCGTTCACGTTCAACAATTTATTGAAAGCTTTGAATGTGATTATTTCAGTGGTTGGGATGTAGACCTTGCTTCATGTTAGATGAACTTGTATATTATAAGATTTTACAGAAATCTTTTTATTTTACTGTTACAGATTTAAACATTACAACTTGTTCAACTGATAATTTATCCTTCTTAAGATCTAAAAATCTTAGACAAACACAAAAAAATGTTAATCATAGAGTCAGTAGACTATATGTAGGGATGGCCAAGACACTCAGTAGAAATATCCACACTAGAAAATCAACAATGACAGATATAACTGTCACTCACTTTCATTTGTTTCTCTACCCAACAAGCCCAAAACAAACAATCGCTAAGATATTAAACCAGGAAGTGACCAACCCACCAAATTGCTCATTTTTTATCTTTTTGTTTTAATCTAAATAACTCTGCAACTACTTTATCATTAATGTCAGTTTAAACTTAAATCCACTCTATTGTGTTTCTGGGCAGTGCAATATGTCATTCCTTAGTCATAATAACTAGTAGTAATTTAAAAAAATCATAATTATAGTGTAAACGATGTTATCATTACCCCCCAAAGTTGGCTTTTTTACAGAAATGTGGTGTTTCTTTAAAAAGCTTAAGTACAAGATGAGCTTTAGATGACTAACATGTAGAATACTCAATGCTTTGTTCAGTATACAATCGGTGTCTTTAGGGAGCCAATCCCTATACTGTATATGAAGTGATGGAGTAAAAAACAAAAATCAATACACATGTGAAGAGCTACCTGGCATAGTAGCTCTATCTCTGGTGTATGTGCTGGGTTTCAGCTATCCAGAGGGTCCCAAAGTTACAAATTTACTTGCTGAAATCATTAAATTTGTGCTGTGTGTGTGAAAACAATTTTAATGTTGTATACATAAAAGAGCTGAATATGGCTGTTCACAAATCTTGAGCCTTAGATTCAAGTTTTTTGTCTTGTATAGTGACACTAACCTTTATATGTGCATATTTAAAATTTCTGTATGTATAGACCCAACATCCAGTTAGCTTTGGTTATCACTGCTTTTATAATCCTTTATCTGACATACCAGTTCAATTCTGATCTCATTATAAGACGTATCACTCTAATCAAGAGCTACAGAAAAGGGTTAATAGAATAACACCTAAATTTAGTGCTCTCAACTAAAATATACTATCTTCAGCAATAACATTTTATTACATATGCACAGAAAATTCCATATCTTAATACATGATGTAAGCATTATGACATATGCAATTAAATTAGAGGGCTTGAATAAACTGAAATGTGTATGCACATATGTAATAATCCAATTGAAAAAAGCATTTGTATTCCACAAAATCAGTACAAGTGACCATATTCACAGAAAACTGAAATGAGTGGCTTACAAACAAGGCATTAAAAAATACTTTAATTTACAAATGTACTGAAACATGTGACCTATAAGCTTATACCAGAGCTTTTATGTATAAAAAAAAAGGCATGCGTGTCTGTAAATACAGTATTGGTAAGTTGTACCAAATAAAGTATATATATTTTTTAGCAAAATTACAAACTTCTATGTAGAGAATAACGTATGTTTAAACAGAATAAAATAGTAACCTTTATCTAAGAAATGTACGTAATAAACCATGCATGTAAACTTAAACAGTTATATTCAAAATTCATTAAAAACAAATAGACCTTTCCAACCATACTTTTTTAGTACAGAATGTGTGTAATGATTTAATCATACTGATTCTACACTCGATACAATAACAAGTGAATGATGGTTATAGAAATAAACATATCAATATCTATTTCAAAAGTTTCACAGATGCAAAAAGTATTATTATTATTATTATACAAGTACATAACATTTTACCAAATAGAAGCAATATATGAATGACTGGGACACAGATCCTAATGAAAAATAATGACCAGCAGATTTTTTTTTTCTTTTTATTTAGACATAAAACTTCTGTAACGGTCATCATTCACTACTAGACTAATATATCGTATACAGGCATGTTAACTATATTTTATCCAATGCTTTCAATACAATGACATCTTTCTCATTCATTCTTATAATTTAATAAGTACTACATCAATGTGTATAAAAACATGTAAACTTTTGAAAATTAGCTCATAACCAACACAGCAACTTTGCATTTGAAATAAATAAAATTATAAATACAAATATGCCAAAACATCAATGCTGAACCAATTCTATGCAAGCACTCTTCATTAAAGATATATAATGGACAAACCACTATCTAACAAACAATTAAAATGAAACAATTACTTTCCATATAATGGCTGGAGACGGCTTAAATGAGTAATGAAGAAAAACTTTAATATAAGTTTAACATGACAGCAAATGTACAACGTTTCGACAAGGTTTTGTTAGAATATTTTCATTGTTCTTTCTCTCTAACAACCATTATGTCGTGCACAGAACATTAAACCGTCACCTAATTCTTTCAGAAAAACAAATTTCATTCTATTTAACCCTTAAACAGAGTGCCATTTCAGATTTCAATGGAAGGTGAGAGGACAACTTTTTTGAAGATCCAAGAGAGTTAGGTCTCTGGAAAGTCTAGGATTTTTTAAAAGATTAAAATGTAAACTTCAGTCTACTTTTAAAACATTTGTTTTGATTATTCCTGTATTATGTAATAACAGTTCAAATATACAAACTACACATTTTACATATATGTATTTTCCCAAAATAGCCAAATACCTAAATGACAGACTTATTTTGAACATTCTTTTATAAACACATTTGAGTAAATTATAAATATGGCAGTCAAATTTACAGACAATTATATTTACTTCATTTTAATTCTGATTTTTTTAAACAAGAAGCACTAAAATAAATTCCCCAGTTACCAAACTTCTATACTTAAATGTTATTATAAATTTCAAAGTGCAAGTCTAAATCAACCAAAATAGTTTGGAAGTTGTAAAAGTTAAAAAACAGCACAAGACAAAATTGTGGTTTTGGACTCAAAATTATTCTAAATGTAGCTCCAATTATTAGTAGTTAAATATATAAGCTTTTTTAACATACTTAAGTTAATATAACAAGAGACTACTTAAAAATACTATCTAATATCATAATTCATAGATCTTGATAACAGTAACAGGGTAATTATTGTATATACTCATGTAATAGTCAAATTTTTGTAACCAATTTTTAGGCTATAATTTATGGGTCGACTTTCACATGAGTAACACTTTCCAGAGGTTGAAATGCGTGCTCAGTAAGAGTCCACAAAACATGAAACAAAACCCCAACTGATATAAAAGACAAAAGGAATTTTTTTTTAATTTCATTAAGGTTAGATTAGGCAAAATAAATAATAATAATAGAAAATTTTCACAAGGTACATTTGCAAGCAGCTCGTGAGTAGTGTAATTTGTGAGCATAATGTGAGCTGTACATTTGCCAATGATTTATGATTGTGTATATAATGGTTAGACGTGGTTCAACAGCAATAAAACAATAAAATTTAAGTATATATAGATGTATACTGTTACAAGTTTAAAGCTATTTAGAATAAACAACTGTAGTTTGATGTTACAATTTGAAATCATTCTAGTTATAGTAAAAATGGTCGGTCCCTGGGTCAGAGTCCATGTTGGTAGGGTTGAGTCTTTTCTTTTGTTTTCACAAGTTTTGAGTACAAAGTGTGACCTGGCCTGGGGTGAGTGACTACACTCTTGGGTTGCTGGAAATACTAGATCGACTTTTACATGAAATATGTGAAAAATTAAGATCTTTTACTTTTAGTCAAAATTCATGGGTTGACTATTCCACAAGCATATAAAGTAATTTAAAGTCTGAATAATTTAAACTGCATGTGCAAGATAGGCCTTACAAGTACAAGGTTACAATTGTTTGGAATATTTACATTGTTTCAGTTTTCAATTAAAATCTAGAATTTAATTTATGGTATTATACTTTTTATTTATAGTATAAACTCAGTATAAGTTACTCAGGTTCTATTTCCTGATTTTCTATAGCTTGGGGATTTTTCGCTTCACCACAGAGACTTGTTTAGATAATTTAAATAAATAAATGATTTATTCCATTATGTGTTCATCATCTTGATTATATCTTGTATTTGTAAACATTTTGACATCTTGACTTAAGAAGTTAAGTTGAAGATCCAAATAAATATTATAATCAAAGTTTAAACAATGTGAATGCTAAACTTTTGTTTAGTCTCACCTTAAAATTAAAGCATAGTCATAAAGCCAGTGAATAAGGCTTAATCTTAACAGCACAATAACTAAAAAAAAAAACTTAAGCCTACTTATAGTTTAACGTTAGCCTATTTTTAATCTTATTTCATAATTTTTACCTTTTCTTTGCCAGCCTGTACTTTCTTCTGCCTCTCATCTTCTTCCATAATGATAAATGTCCTATTTTTGACTAGTTATAAAACACCAGCTTAAAGTATGACAAATCGCTTCGTGATAAAATTTTAAAACACAGCATATTTTATTTATTTACAACTTTACATCAAACGTAGCCTACTATCACCCAAAAAAATCTTAACTGACTTATACGTTATACTAAGTTGGCACGCAGACTCAGCTGCCATCTTCTGTTGAAAGAATAAAAATATCATGTTACATACAAAAACATTTTAATACGTATATTTTACAACAGGAATAAAAAAAATATATTAAATCTCACCTACTTTTCTAAAAAAATATGAATTTATAAATGAGCTAATAAGCAAGATAATGCGAGAAAGTACTTAATTAAGATCATATGAAAAAGTAAAAGAATGTTCTGCCTTTCTATCATTTTAATCACTCTACACCCACAAAAACAAGTACTAAAACAAAGCTTTTCGGATGCATATACTAAAACAATAAAAGTGTCAAATAATTCAAACTAACAGCACACAAAGCATCATCAGGCAAAACATGTCACAAAGAAAATCTTCAATTTGTGGAAGAGTTAGTTTCATCTAGACTTCCAAAGCCTAAACCTATTATCCCAACCAAGTGGTGTTAAAAGTTTGGTTTGGTTTCGTGCAAAGCTACACGAGGGCTATCTGCGCTAGCATTCCATAATTTAGCAGTGAAAGACTAGAGGGAAGGCAGCTAGTCATTATCATCCACCGTCAACTCTTGGGCTACTCTTTACTAAGAATAGTGGGATTGACCCTATATATTATAACGCTCCCACGGCTG